TAATTCATATGTATTTACATTTCTAACACCTAAACCTTCATTTTTACATATATTCCATCCTTCCAATTCATGAAAAGGTGTCTTCCACTATTTAGAAGTTAAAATGGAGGCATTTTTTATGAGATACGGAAGTTTTGAGTAGTATAATTGTAAAAAGCCGAATTTAGGTATTAAATATTTAAAGAAATTGGTGGTCTGTATGTAAATGCCGAAATTTTAAAATTTGGTTTTTTTTTTTTTTTCATTCAGGTGGATTTTCAGAATTCAGACTTCTGGAACGTCTTGGAGAAGAAAAGATGCCGACTTCCGTCATTGGCGAGGTTGCTGATGACCTCAATCTCGATTTGGTAGTATTGAGCATGGAAGCAATCCATTCAAAACAGGTTGATGGGAATCTATTAGCAGAATTCATCCCCTGCCCTGTGCTGCTCCTTCCACTTTGACTCTTCCAGTTATTACTTTGTTTCGACTCTCTTCTCTAGAGGTTTGTTCTATTGAATCTCTTACCAGGAAAACTTTCTTTAATCCTTCAGATTCAATAAAACAACCACTTTTAACAGAGTTTTTTATTTTTTTTCAAATTTGCGTTATAAAACTTTAAGTTGTGGCCTTGGCTATCTTTAGATTAGGTTAACATGGAGTGTGAATCTGCTTAGTTTTGTATGCTGTTGTGATTTTGAACATAACATACTAATTGATCAATAAATTCATTGTTTTTGTTCTGGAATCAGCCTGGAGGAATGATTAAAGCTGGTGATGAACTGAGATTCAGGTGGATGGATGAATATATATATCAGCAGAATTTTCTAAATGTTGATTTCTATTTGTTTCTGATTCATTATGTGCATTATTATGGATTGTTTAGTTGGCTCTAATCATCCAAATGAAGCATTCTGTCAATTCTATAACTATGATTTGATTTTATGAATTTTCAGATGTTCAAGTCACTTACCAATCCTCTCTTAAACATCCCAAGCACACCACACATGCAATAAATCCTCCCCATCTTCACCATGGCGATTGTCTCCACCCATTATTCCTCATCCCATGATTACAAGATTTAACTTAATATATCAAGTTCAAAGTCTATCACTATATCCCATACCTCTCTCATAGGAGAAAATATTACGTATGGTAAACCAGACATGCGGACGACGACGTGGATCCACCACGCCATGCGTTTGGTAGCGTGGTGCGATCCACGCTGTCATCAACACGTCCATTATTCAGACGTAATGTTTTCTCCTCTCCCAGGCTATCTTGTAGCCAAAATGGTGGTAAGCCACGTCTCAATGGTTTTTAACACTACAATAGTAGGAGATACCTACTCTCGTCTCTTCACCATTGCAACAAAATGTATTAAGTTGTTGTTGGATGTTCAGAATGAATTCAACTCTGACAGCGCATGCCAGCCACAATGTATGTTGAGTAGCCCGAAAAGCATGATATCGACTATCTTGGCACTTTCATCATGAAAGTTTCAAAAAATGTCATGGAATGTGTAGAAGCAATAACCTGGGTTTATAATCACTTTTTTTTTTTAAGAAATTATAGCCACCCCAAACAAATCTCTAAGTCATTTAGGAACAAAATCTTGCCACCATTTTTTGGATGACTTTTATGTATGGTGGATGGGTTTTGGCCTTGGGCAAATTTAAAAACAAGCTTGTAATTAGTAAGGAAATATGCCTCAATTAGATATATGAAGCTTTTCACAATTATTCCTGATTTATGGTGGTCAAATGGCTAATAAATCAAGACTGTGTCAAGTCAGCCATTGCCTTGGTTGAGAGAGCCCCAAGGGTTGTGCATTGAGAGCACCGTGCAGACAATGATTGAGATTGTCGTGATCAAGTGGAACGCAGCACGGTGCTTCGTGCGAACAATTTATGAAAAAAATTCTCGGGAGTAGAGAAAAAAATAAAACCTTAATTTCACATTAAAAAAATAAAATTTACAAACAATAAAATAAGCCATAACTTATCGAAGTAGTAAGATGTTAGAGACCATTAAACCTCCTAAAATGTTTGTCTCTAAAAATTTCTATTTCTAATTAGTCCTTTTTTATTAAAATCATATTAGATTTTTGTAATTAATTCTTTTTTTTTTAAACTACTATAAGCATAAAAAAAATTAAAATTTTATTTGTTTTGTTTTGTTAGAATTAAAAAAATTATATTAAAATTTTTTAAAAAATGGGTTTATAATAATGAACTAATTATTTAACTAATCATCAAACAAATTCTAATTTAAAATTCATAAAAAAAATGACTTAAAATTTATTAATAAATTTATTTTATTAAAAAATGAACCAAAGAAGTCACTTTGAACATTTTTTTTTTTGAAAATTTTAAAATAGTTAATTTATAATAATAAATTTGAAAAATTATTTTTATTGAAATTGATTAGTCGTCAATGATTAAGAAATTAAGAATTATCTTAAACAACTATAAAACTATAACGAGGGCTATCAAAATGGCTCGTTGTTCGCGAACAGCTCGTGTTTGACTCGTTAAGAAGCTCGTGTTTGGTTCGTTTCAAACACGAACAACACGAACCAAGATTTATTCGTTCGTGTTCGGCTCTTTTTAGCTCGAAATATTACTAATCAATTATATATATATATATTTGATTAGTAGTATTTTTAAAAATTTTAATTGACTACAAAACTATAAAAATTTATAATCAGTTAAAGTATAAATTAAGAAATTAGAATTAAAATTATTAAATTGGATTTAAGTGATAATTTAATATAAATAATAATTTTTAAATCTTGTCTTACATGATTAGATTGTCAAACTACTCTTAGTTGGTGGCTAAGCAAAAGAGTCGAACGAAGACATTTTTTGAGCTCAAACTCGCTGTGTTCGGCTCGTTTACACCCCTAACAATATTCTATTCTGTATATCGGCCGACTCGTTCCCGCATCGGAGTCTTCCCCGCCAAAACCCTACTCAGAACATCCTCCGATCCTCGCGGCAGCGGAGCGGGAACACAGCGCGATTTCCCGGCGGCCATTATCTTCACCCCTCCATCTATTTTCTCTCCACCTCATCAAACAAAGCGATAAGATGAGGATCATGAAAACCTTTTCGTTGGCCCGACGGTGTCTTGGCTCCCTCCATCTCCTCCCTCACAACAGAAGCTTTTCGGCAATCTCGACTGCCGCCGTTGATGACGATCTCAAGACTGAGGTCGTTTTCATGACATCCGATTTATGGTTCCTCTCTACATTGATGTTCTTATTGATTTATGTATTGGATTTAAGGTGCTTATAGAAGGGAAAGCGAGCGCCCGTGCGGCGATTCTTAATAGGCCGTCAGCTCTTAATGCGCTGACAACCAACATGGTACGTGCTCTGTTTTTATCAAATGTGTTTGTCTTTTTGTTTCTTGTGTGATGCACATAGGCTGTTTGAGGTTTTGACTAGCTGGGGGCAAACATTATTTTTTTTTTCCCAAGGGACTTCGTTTGAAGAAATTGTATGAGTCGTGGGAAGACAATGCTGACATTGGATTTGTTATGATGAAGGTAGAACTTTGTTAAGCTGAAAACTATCTCTTTTCCTTTTTTTTTTCTTTTGTGGCATTTACATACATACCAAATAATTCATAGAAATTTACATACCTAACACGTAAACTTTTACTTTTTACATTTATACCTTCCAAAATTTTCATATCACATAAAAATACCACCATTTT